TATTGACTTGAAAATCTCAGAAATCTCAAATCTGAGCCTTGTATTGGGAGAGCCTCCTGCTTGAGATGTCACACACACAGAGATTTCCAAGGAGGTGTTAAATTCTGCTAGTTCTCTGTGGAGAAAAATGCCACTGGCATTAATCTCCTCTGAGGAGTGGGTGGGAGGAAGGCATTTTCCTCCCATCGCCAGCACAGAGGATCTTCCTCTGCAATAAGGGATATAAGCTCTTTTGCCCATATCTCAGGGCTCAAGCTACTCCCTTGGTTTCTGCCCCAGACAAATGCAGATCTCCACAGTGGTATCTGCTTTGCCTGTTTAATGGGCAGGAAACGCCCTAGAAGATGTATCTTTTGTTAGGACTTGCCACACTCTCTTCCATGGTGATTATTTTCCTCAGAGTGCTCACAGATCCCGTAGGGTGTGTGTTCTTTTTGTTTTGTTTTGTTTTTTGCAGTTTTTGGCCAGGGCTGGGTTTGAACCCACCACCTCTGGTGTATGGGGCCAGTGTCCTACTCCTTTGAGCCGCAGGCACCACCCCTCAGTAGGGTGTTTGCAAGCTGTATTCCCACCAGGCTAGAATTTCAGAAAAGGCAGAACCTTCCTAGTAATGGCTAGCTTAAACACAAACTGGCTGACTTCTCTTTGTTCAAATTCACTCAGCCCTACTATTTTAATTTTCCTATTTTTCTGAAAGGCCTTTCCCTTGCCAAGAATGGGGTCTTTGGTCTCCCTGCCTCCCTCCCTTTTTAATTTTTATTCTTCAAAATAGCAAGGGACATCATTAATCCATCATGAAAGTTGGTTTCACTATGGAAGCTTCTGATGAGAGTATGCCAACCTCTTTTTTTTTTTTCTTGGCAATCTTTTGCTCTTTCTGATTCAGGTTCATGATTGAGTTTAATAAACCTTAATGGAACCCAGACAAAATTAGAGTCGTCTCCTGTGGAAATACAAGCAAAGCCTCTTCCCCATAAAACAACTTCACCAGTTTTCCATTGCTGAGTTCTAACATCTTTCTGCCATACCAAAGACTTTTCTTTGGTGTCAATTGTTTCCCTGTGAAATGCTGCTCTGCAGCTGCAAATGACTGTGTTTGGGGGTAATTTCAGAAATTTAAAGTAAAAAGCACTTTCTTTAATTGTATTTGTGGTGAGTTACGTAATTCTCCATTCCTATCCCCCCCACCCCCCCACCCCCGTTTTTGCTTTGTTTTTGTTTTTGCAACTGATTTTTTAGGGTTCTATTACCTCTGATTGGTAGGACTTACTTCAGGATGGATGAGTCAAATTTATATCACATAATAATTTTTGAAAATCTTTAAGAGTGTTAAGTAGTCTTTTCTAATTTCTACTCTTTGAGGTCTTATAAAATCATCTTCAAGCCTCATGCCAAGATACTGCTATAGAGAGGCAGTATGAATTTTAGCACTAGCAATAATTAATCCTTCCTGGGTGATGGCTGTTTGTAACTCCTCAAAACATGCAATTAATTTACAGCAAGTAGGTGCAGCACAAAGGATGTCATCCATATAGTGAATAATATAACACAGCTGTCTGATAGGGGAAAGAATTTGACCCACATTGACAAATAGTAGGGCTATGGAGCATCCCCTGGGGGAGTACTTACCACTGATATCTCACTGCTGGTTTCTGATTATTTATTTGGGGAATACTGAAAGCAAACTTTTTATAATCAGAGGTAGCCAAAGGAATATTAAAGAAACAATCTTTTAAATCTATTATTATTAAAGGCCAATGTTTAGGTATCATTGCCGGAGAGGGCAATCCAGGTTATAATGACCCCATGGGTTGAATAATAGCATTAATGACTCTTAATTCTGTAAGCATACTGCCATTTGCTTGATTTCTTTTGAATGACAAAAACAGGTGAGTTCCTGGGCAACGCCTGTGGCTAAAAAGTAGGGCGCCAGCCCCATATACCAGAGGTGGCAGGTTCAAAGTCAGCCCTGGCCAAAAATGTCCAAAAAAATTAAAATTAAAAAAAGAACGCGTGAGTTCCATGGAGATAAAGACGATTCCATATGACCAGCTTGAAGCTGTTCTTTTACTAAAGTTGCCCAAGCCTCCAGCTTAAGTTTTGGTAGCAGCCACTGCTCCACCCAAATAGAGTTCTCGATTTTCCAATTCAAAGGAATGGGTCCAGGAGGCTTAGCAGTGATCGTTCCTATAAAGGGTACCCCCAACCTCTTCAGTCAATGTTACTTTGGTGAGTGCTAGGAGTAATAATGCCATCCTCTTTTCCTCCTGAACCCTTTCCTGGTGTAAATCCCATTTTTTGCCTTATATGTTGAGTCTGAGGACTGTAATTTGCAGGAGGAAAGGAAATTTCTGTGCCCGATTGTTGAAGTAAGTCTCAACCCCATGTCAACAGGAATGGGCACAATCATAGGCTTAATGGTATTTTTCTACCCTTCAGGACCGTAACAATTTAAAAGCGTGACACTTTGAGAGACTTTGTCAGGCGTGCTGACTCCTGTTCATCCAGTTTCAGGAGTTTGGGTGGCTCAGTCTAGAGACCATTGTTTATCTGAGATAAGAGAAATGTCTGCTCCAGTATCTAGAAAGCCTGAAAAAGGATTTCCATTGATGGTGATTATATATAAAGGCCTTCCTTCTGCAATTTTTTTCATCCAATAAGTGGCCTGACTGGTTGGGTCAGTACTTCCAAACCCACCAGATCACTTCTGATTAGAAGTTCTGGTCTTTCTATAAGGGAGGAGTAATAGTTGAGATATATGATCTCCTGTCTTAGCTTGCCAGGGAACATTTGAACTGATTATAATCTGAATTTCTCCCTCATACCATGAGTCAATAACTCCTGTATGAATGTGAATGCCTTTCAATGGAAGGCTTGACCTTCCTAATAAAAATTCTACAATTCCGGGGGAAAGGGGCCCATAAACCCCTGTTGGTACTTTAAGAGGAGGTTCCCTTGGTAATAAAGAAATGTCTATAGTGCTGCTTAAGCCAATGCCAACACTGGCTATTATGGCAGGGGGTCAGCTGTGATACTGTGACCTCCTGGTTTGTTAATTGAGACTTGATAATATTATCAATAGAGCGTTGTGTTGAAAGACAAAACTCTGGAGTAGAAATGACCCATTTTGTGTCTGGGCCTGGGCCTGGCCCCGCATTCAGTTTCCCTGAACTGGAGGTAGAAGTTTGCCTTCAATATCAAATTTGGAAGGACATACATTTTTCCAATGTTTTCCCTTCTTACATCTAGGACACACGCTAGGTGGTTCTTTATGCTTAGCTGAATCAACTCCTTTTTCATTGAAAGAGGATTATTGACAGAAAGTCTGTCTCTTCCTGGAGGAACTTTATTTTTGATTAAGCTTATGGTGGCCTGGCATCCAGCATTCACAGCTTCGTATACCACAAGTTCCACGATCATTTTCCTGCCTGCCTCATGGGGCATGGCCTTTTCGGCTGCATCTTTTTAACATGCTGTGAAATCTGGGTATGGCTCATTGATCTTCTCTCTCACTGCTGTAAGCAACAGAGAAGTTTCCTCCTCAGTTTGGATCTTGCTCCAGGCTTCTAAGCAACATTGGCCTACTTGCTCAAGAGCCTCAGAGGTCATGTCAGCTTGACGGCTGACATTGTTAAATTCTCCACTTCCTAATTGTTCATCCTCAGCAATTGGGATATTTCTCTATTATTCCGAGCTCTGATTTGCACACCATCTGACCACCAAGTACAGAATTGTAGAAATTGAGATTTGCTCAAGGTAGTGCTTGCCAAATTTTCCCAATCGTAAGATATGAGTCTTTGATCTTTGATTGTAGATTTTATTTTATTTTTTAATTATTTTTTATTAAATTATAACTTTGAACATTGACCTATTTATGGGGTTCAGTGCACTGCTTCAATATACAATGTGAAATGTTTACATTGAACTAAGTCACACATCCATCACAATTATACTCATTTCTTAATAGTTTTGAAATGGGCTCGGCGCCTGTGGCTCAAGTGGCTAAGGCGCCAGCCACATACACCTAAGGTGGC